AGTGTAACTAGGATAGGGTGTATGGAGCTTGAAACAGTTGATATAACTAGGACAGGGTGTAGGGATGTGGAAACAGTTGATACTAGTTTAAATAGGATAGGGTGTATGGAGCTTGAAACAGTTGATATAACTAGGGCCGGGTGTAGGGATGTGGAAACAGTTGATACTAGTTTAAATAGGATAGGGTGTATGGAGCTTGAAACAGTTGATATAACTAGGACAGGGTGTAGGGATGTGGAAGCAGTTGTTACAACTAGGGCAGGGTGTAGGGACGTTGAAACAGTTGATATAACTAGGACAGGGTGTAGGGATGTAGAAACAGTTGATATAACTGGATGCTAATGATAGTGACATTACAGTATAGTGATATAGACAAGCATGCTGGAGGCAAATGATAGTGACATTACAGTATAGTGATATCGACAAGCATGCTGGATGCTAATGATAGTGACATTACAGTATAGTGATATCGACAAGCATGCTGGAGGCAAATGATAGTGACATTACAGTATAGTGATATCGACAAGCATGCTGGATGCTAATGATAGTGACATTACAGTATAGTGATATAGACAAGCATGCTGGATGCTAATGATAGTAACATTACAGTATAGTGATATAGATAAGCATGCTGGATGCTAATGGTAGTGACATTACAGTATATTGATATAGACAAGCATGCTGGAGGCAAATGATAGTGACATTACAGTATAGTGATATAGACAAGCATGCTGGAGGCAAATGATAGTGACATTACAGTATAGTGATATAGACAAGCATGCTGGAGGCAAATGATAGTGACATTACAGTATAGTGATATAGACAAACATGTTGGATGCTAATGATAGTGACATTCCTGTATAGTGATATAGACAAGCTTGTCGGATGCTTATGATAGTGAGTGAGTTGGGTTTAACGCCGCGTTTAACAGTATCCCAGTTATATCACGGCGTATCAGCTTAAAGTGGGAGGAAAGCCCGAAGTGATGCAGGTCTCAGACGTTTACCACTTCAGTGAAACCCACGAGCACGGGTAATCGGGGCGAACCGGGATTCGAACCCACAATCATAGGTTTCTGGCGTGTCCAAGGGACGCAGCTCTGCACAGCATATCGCGGCGCCTTAGACGACTGGGCCACCCGTGTCCCCTTCTAATGATAGTGACATTACAGTGTAGTGATATAGAAAAGCGTGCTGAATGCTTATAATACTGTCAGCTATGCACCATATTTCTATTATAATTCACCGAGTACCCCACAGAAAAACCAGTGCCGACATCTGGAACATATACTGTCGATAAAAAATAAGGGAACTCGTGGTTTGAATATAGCTATCGTAATTACAATACAGCGGCGTTGCATCTGAACGCAACATTTAATCACAATGAAATTTCTCTGAAGCCAAAGTGTGTGCGCCTATAGGGGTTTTCACAATCACTAATGCAATTGAAACTAAGCACACGCTTAAAAATGCCTCCCAGACAGTATCTCAATGAAGAGCAAAAATAGCGATCTGTGGGTATGATTGTGGCTGGCAATATTCCAAGCTTCCCGAATGTTTAGCCAATCAGAAAGTGTAAGATATCGACAGTGGGTCAAGTACCGTTGCCATGAGACCAGGGCGTGGTCTAAGAACACGACACCGAGACAAGACCGTCTCATTACATTGATTGCACTACGCAATAGAGTCAAGTCAGCCCCTGGTATCTATAGAAAATTCCGTACAAAAACATGAAGGCCATTTTTAACATATATCGTTAAAAACCGACTCTGTGCAGTCCGCCTAAGAGCAAGACGTCCTGTGAAGGGTGTGACACAAACAGATGACCATAGACACAAAATATTGGAAAGTGCAAGGTGGGGCAGGGGTGGGGGGTGGGGGGTGGGGTTGGGGGTTTGGTAGTATCATCTTGCGTGATGGTATCACATATGATAGGCGAACTGATTTCGTTATTGTGAAAGGACATGTGACTGCCAAGCCATATGTTAACGAAATATTCCGTCTTTTTCCATATCGGCAGGAAATTTGAACTGTAAAATACGAAATTAAAAACAATTCCTGAGCCGTTATTCTATGGAAATGTATGCAGACCCAATTAATGTCATTTGAAAGTACTTTGTCCGGTTTGGTATAGTTGTCTAGCAAAGTTTGCCCCGTTACATATTCATGAGCATCTGTTGCCTCGAGGAGCCATGTGTGTAGGCAGTATAAATCCTGTATTAATGTAGCAAAGTGTATAGATCCGTTCCACCACGCAGCAATACAATTATGAACAAAATCCATAATTATAAAAATAATGTATATAGACGTTCACATATAATGTATTAGGTCTACTGAATTTAAATACAGGGTGCATTAACAAGTGTGTCCGGTGTGGAAACTCAGACCAGGGCGGTATCTTGAGACAACCAAGGGCGTCGATGCATCCACGTCGAATTAATTCAAGGAGAAAAAAACACCGAATATATATAACTGTATTACATACAATTTAATATTATCGATTTTAGCTTCGCTTTATGAATATCAGGATGGCATGTTACACAGAGAGAGAGAGAGAGAGAGAGAGAGAGAGAGAGAGAGAGAGAGAGAGAGAGAGAGATGCTTAACGACACTTCTGTGTACTTGATCGGATCATCTGGGCGGAGGTAGCCGTCATGTCGACTTCCCAGCACTCTCCCAGCAGTGTGTCGGTTACGCCTCTCGCACGCGATGGACATGCATAGCCTTTACACATCTTATTGACGTCACAACAATCATGACGTCGCCATACACGCAAAAATGGACAGCTATTATTCTGTTACAGTACATTTGAGACTTTGGTTAGAATATACTTTCAGTTGTATCCCCATGTACCCCTCGTGATCCTGCTACAACTAATTTATCTTACCGACATGATTAAATATGACGTTGTAAGAGAATTCAAACAAATTCAAAATTGATAGAAAACAGCTTAGGTCAGCCTGCGCTATGCCACGTGACTTCCACTGACTCGGAAAAAGCGTGCGGCTTTTTGCTTTGAAGCGGGGTTTAAGGGATTGATTCTGTCTGTCAGACATCCACGTACAGCCTGTTTTGCTCGTGGCGGGGTATAAGAGATTTATTTCCCCGCTGAGAAATTTATTCCCTCCAAGACGTGTTACAAGGTATATTATCAAGATCACGTGGGCCAATCAGATCTCATCATTCTGACATGGAGGTGCGATAGAGTATTTATGGTGGTCATCTTTTGCCCGTTGAAATAGTATCGCCATTAGATGAGACGTGTCTATTAAAATCTATCTCTTGGGTCATACACAGGGACATAGCGTCGTATTATTACATTTAGAAGACGTCAAAATTGCTGACACCATCAACGAGAGGCAGATTTCCAAAGTTGTCAATGAACTTGTGGCGATAATATATCTGTCATATCAGTCTATAGGCTCGGTTTAAGTCGATAGTTTGGGTGAACATTTCTTCATTTGTTACGGTGGGATGCCCCGTAACGAGGATCTTCGACCATGAGCAAGCGGTCAAACGCTCTGACATTTTCAAATGAATGCAAAAACGCTGATTTCAAGATTTAAGTGTCAGAAACAAAACTCAGCCCTATTATTCGTGCAAGGGAATTCCAAGGGGTTTAACAAGGATGGTCCGCCAGTGTTTACGTCGTTTCAAGAATACAGTCGTCTCATGAAAAACGTTTGAACGTCAAGATGTGTCGTTTATACGGTTTATGAACGTTAGTTGCGCGGTCAAGTGACCGGCCTCTCGTCCAATGAAAAAGACTTTAATATTGTGTAAACGTTACATTAAACGACCAGGCCCATATATATCACGATAATGTATGTAGACCTCGTTATTAAAAATGAGCGCACTATGAATACCTTTGCTCGGGACTTGGTCCAGTCAAAACTATTTTCTCAAAGATGCTGATACACACATCGTTCCCTACACCCACAGTACTGGCTATCTAATTGATAAACACTCGGAAACAATCGGAAACGATTCTTTGTGGTCAAATTTAATATTTTTAGTAATGAAATTGGTAACATTATAGTACTAGGTGAAGCTACCTGTAATACCACTTTGCAATCATTCTTCCCAGCATACATCCTCATACATAAAGAAATACAAAGGAACAGTTTTCGGTCGGATTAACAATCAAATTGTTGCAAATCAACACTATCAAATGGATTTACTCTGTTTTTGTTCGGTCTATGATGCACCTGATGACCCAACTGTGACACTTCTCACGCTGAGTCACGGAATCAATTGGGTTGATTTTATTATTTTTTAAGTTTACCGAATCGCTGTATTAAGCGCCCAGCCAACCTCTAGTTTAACGTGTCGGTCCCCTTCATAAACGCCCCCTACAAAGACCTAACATTTGCATGACAATCCATAGATTTTCTCGTGAACATTACAAATTGGTGTTGTTGTTTTACAGCAAACAGTCGCGTAGAAGGGGCACACAATTGCCTATAGTAAGAACTTTCTAAAGGTTTAGTTTCGCCGACGTTTGAAATAAGATACACCACCTCTCGAACACTGACAATTTAACTCGTTATGTATGGCTATAATAAGTGACCCTCTCTGTCAATTTTCGGCTCCCCGTTTTTCATCCTCCTAATCTTATATTACGGCGAATACGGTAATATGGTTTGGTTAGAATAAAATAAGTTAGAAACTTGTTAGAGGTCGGGGAAGTAGTCTATCTCACACGAAACAACATTCTTTGTGACTGAATATATTAATTGGCTAGTACACATGCACTAAAAACTACATTACTTTATCACTTTCAAAAATTGCATTCAAAATATATACTCCTCATGTCACACCTTTCTTGTTTGGATTTCTAATTCTTGAACACGATTTTTGTACGCAAAAAAACAACAACAGAATTTTGAGAAATGGTGTTTTGCGTTTAAAAGCAATCTATATTATATTAACAAGAGACTTATAGCAAGTGTGGCGAGAAAAAGCGTATACATCCGGAAGTTGATGTCACATGACATCTGTTGTAAAGATGGCGGACGCAGCTGACAGTGACAACCCGGCGTGAAATATATTCTATGTGTAGAAGTATGCGTCTGCATCAGATATGAACAAACAACTGATACATAGGGATTCATATCAGAAATGGAACTTTCATACGTGAAGCTAGTTTTTATTATCGGCATTTTATTACCATACACAACATGTCTTCACTTAAAAGGAACATGGAACTCGGAAGGATTTTTCCTGTTTCTGGCAAAGTTTGGTTTTCAGAAAACCACATCTCCAGACTTAGACCGAACACAAGGTTATATTTTTGGAAACATCACCACAGACTCAAGTCTAAGCATGGATCTCATGCTTGTAGTAGTTGATAGTGAATATTTTATTGAATTTTACACAAATCGGACGTTACCACGGAAAGCTGCTTGTCCAAGAATGTTCAACAAAATAGACACTATCGCTTTTGATGTTGACTGTAAACCGAAAGGACAGCAAGATTTTCTGAGGAGGGTGCCTTGTCCGTATAATATGTTATGTTCGGATGAAGACGACCCACAGAATGTAGTGCCTGGGTACCAGTTTACCTACAAAGTAAGGGACACAGAACGACCAAGGTATGTACATATGATGATATACTGCATGAATGATACCACCATCTGGAGCTGTATTCATTATTTTCTACTTACTTTGTGGCTTATTGCTGGCTTCAGACATACTTGTCTGGGATTTTAGAACCATCATATTTTCTGAGTGTCTGCTGTAGACATGCTAAACAAGTTATCGGTTTTACATAAACCGATACTATATCTGTACAGGGTGTATGCAAATTCGAAAAAATCGTACCCCAAATCATTTGTTTGATGTTTAAAACCACACTCAGCATTACTCCTGCAATTTGATGGCAGTCTGTAAATAATCAAGTCTGGACCAGAAAATCCAGTGATTGACATTATGAACATCAATTTACGCATTTGGGATATGATGACATCAACGCAGTCAGCGAGCCTGACTACCTTATCCCGTTAGCCGCCTCTTACAACAAGCACTGTTGCCTTTTACGGCAAGCATGGTTTGCTGAAGACCTATTCTAACATTGATCTTCATGGGTAACCATGGTAACCCCAATCGAAAGTAGGTTTGTAACCCTTATGCAAAAAGCAATGAATTATGCTGTATCAAGTGTTAATTTAGATTTAGATCGAACCAATATATCCTGGTGATGTAGACTGACATTTTATTAGAACAAAAACAACTGCATATGTGGGTTTATCTGTTGACTGAAGCTAATCTTTAAGAAAACAGTGTTTCAATTGACAATTATGTATGGGTTCCTTGATCCCAGTAGCAGTTCAGATGGAGATTTTAGATTTTTATTGAACAATAATACTAGGTGAAGATATTATATGTGAATATTGAGAATATTGCAGTGAACATGGTGAAAACATGTTTGGATTTCTGAATGCCTGAATAAGATGACTAAGATTGATTTGGATCCCATTTTTGTGTTTCATACTAATCATTGCTTGATCATGTTGATATTTAATCAAATCATGTAATAATGTCATGTTAGTAGACCTATCATATTAAAAATAAATAAACATTTATTTATTTGAGACTCTAAAAAAACCTAATTTTCCCATTGCATAGTTATTGTGTACTATCAACTGTTGGATATAGAATGAACAAGAAGATAAAGTCATCACTATATATAGTAGGTCATACAGAAGACTATGTAAACAGTCTGCCCGGAGAGCGGAAGGTCAGGGGTTCCATCCCCGGTTGCGTCATACCAAAAAGACATTAAAAGATGGTACTTGTTGTTTCCCTGTCTGGTGCTCGGCATTAAGGGACTAAAACAAGGACTGGTCGGCTCGGAGTCAGTATACTGTGTCTGAGTGGGGTATTCATGTTGAACTGCGGCATGGTATCTCAGTGTGATAGCACTATAAATCAGCATCAGTCCGGACTATTACAAGCAGCCACACACACACACACACATACATGCATGCACGTCGCTATGTAAGTGCAATAATCTTGGACGCAAGGTTAAACCCAATTTCACCTCACCTATGTAAACAGAAATCTACATCTGTGTTTCAGTGTTATATCACTGACATTAAAGGGGCACTGATCTAACGCAATTCCCCGGACTGCTTGTTGCCTTTGTTATTGTTTTTTTCCCCGTGAGTACCCGGATGATACGCAACGCAACTGAGCGTGACCAGAGACTGGGCTACCGTCTGCAAGGACAGCTAAATAAACTTGAGGGCTGGAGGCGATATTTGTTTTACGCATTTTTGCATAAACACTGATTTGTTAACTGTGATCTAAAAAGATTTCGACAAAGGGCGCATGTTAATAAATTTCTTCAGCCTAAACAAACAGACAAAAAGAACGGCGGTGCTCATCGGATGTCGTCTTTTGGAAATACCCCAGATGGTTATAGTTTAATACTAAAAAAAGTATCCATGCAGTGAAAGCAATTTCGGATTTCGGATTGCGTCGATAATACGATTACTACTCCCTTGTTGTCATCCACGTTTTCTCGTATAACCCTACACTTGTGTATTTGTCGTCATTCACTCGATGCTCAGTTAATGAATTTATTGCAGGTACAATTAGTGGTAGCACCACTTAGATTACCTGACAAAGGTTTCCATTTGGCATTTATTGTGTCTGGGGTAATTATTCAATCTAAATCCAGGTTGGAAGTGAGGTGAAATGTGTGTTATGTAATATGCAAATGGCAGACCAGCAAGAGGTGAATGATCAGTTGATTTACTTTTTTTGGTAAATCAACGGATCGTTCCTAGTCATCAAAGGATAAACAGAAAATACGTTGATTGATTAATCACTGTTATCTTGCACAGTGGATATGTCAAAAGTGAGTGTTTACATGTCTAGGTTTACTAAAACAAAGGGAATACACTCATATCATGGCGTGAAGTGCCGATGTAAAAACAACATACTTTGTTCAAAGGGTTAACTGATAATACGTTGATTGATTGATCACTGTTATCTGTCACTCAATGGATTTTTAGGAACCGTGGACGTTATGAAAATAGTTGTCATGTGGGCTTTCTCAGCCGACCCTTGAGACTTGACACCTATGTGAAACACCTGAAACAATCAAAGTGATCAGTTGAGAAACGAACACGGGTTATAATATCCCAAAACAGTATCTTTTAAAATATTTGATTGTTACAGAGACACATGACATCGAATAAGTTTCTTTGTACAGCTGCAGACGAATGGGATATTGTTCGTTTATGTGGATATTCACAGATACATTCCTCGAACAAGGAAGCTGCCTAAAATTTATACACATAAATTTGGTAGGTTGTAATTATGGTATTTGCATTTTGTTTTCCTTCATTTGCCGATTCGTCCTTGTTTCTCTACGTCTTGGTTGGGAAATTCTTCAATGCGCGATAGACGTTGTTTTCACAAGTCTTTTCCTTTGTAAGCGTGTATATATTACCGTCAATTTGTAATATGTGATTCTCTCAGGCAATTTATAAAATGTGTAAATATTTAAGTCATTTTGACTAAAAAATCTGTCCAGATTGATTAAGACCATCAAAAGGGCCTACAAACATCACAACAGATTATTATGTAGGATTAGAAGCCAAACAACATAGAAATGTACTTTTCAATGTAACATTTTCAGTCTCTTGGTGATGACATTAAACATCAAAATGTTTGGAATTCGTTATCATAATAATACAGATGGAAATGTTTTCAGTCACTTTGTAAAATAACTGAGTATTTAGGCATTTAATAAAATTGAAAATGTAACACATTTTGACCCTTAAAAAATGTACACACTATAAAAAAAAGCAATGCTCAGGTGAAATATTTACTTTGTGTTGCAAGTCAAAATAGTGTAAACGAAAATTGCAAAATTACCAACCAAGTGACTTTTCAAAACTTCGTCACCATTACCGATGCTACCCACAAAGATACCTACATTTCCTTATTATCTCGAAAACTGTATTTCATTTTGTTGATCAATGTGACCATACGCCCTTATTACCATGATTACTACCCATAAAAGTGACTAATGCGCTTACGAATGGCGCAGCAGAGGTCGCGAACTAGTCTAGATTTCTGCTATACATCCGGGTACTCACTGGGAAAAAACAATAACAAAGGCAACAACCAGTCCCGGGGAATTGTGTTAGATCAGTGCCCCTTTAACAATGCTGTATCAACGCATAATAGTAGACAGTTCTGGTCTTGTTTTGGAAAAAAGATGGTTTAAAAGTAATAATTCAATTTCACCCGTTTCTTGGTCATTGCATTTCAATCATTTGTTCCAAGGCACTAATTTTGCTGAACTGCTGAATATGTGAAATAATTTTATAGAGCTGTCCAACATTTTGTAGAATCTATTAGTGAAGATTTGATTAACTCTACTGTAGATGATAACATGGATAATGGGTTGGAATAACATTAGATGAAATATTTAAGGCTGTTAATGATATGCCAAATAGAAAAGCCCCAGGGTTTAGTGGTGTACCCATTGAATTTTTTATATATACCCCTCCCATGTGTTTTGAAATGCTGGTATCCTTGTTTAATAAAATTATATTGACTGGTATTTATCCAGATGAGTGGACTTTAGGTGACATCCTTACTCTACATTAAAAGGGTAATGTAAATGACCCTAGTACTTACAGACCTATCACTCTTTTAGAAATATCTGGTAGAATCTTCTAAAATTATATGAACTAGACTCACCAATTGGGCAACTGATGGAAATGTTATTACCCCTGAACAAGCAGGTTTTAGAAAGGGGTTTTAAACTGTGGATATTACTGGATAATATATTTATACTTCAAACTATTATTGATCATGTTGATAAATATCAAAGATTACATAAAGAGAGACTATACTGTGCCTTTATTGATTCACATAATGCTCTGATGTACTTTGGTTCTGTTTTTAGATTAATTAGAAATAGGCATGAAAATGTGAAATCATGCCCATCTCTAAATTTTTTGACTGTTCATTTGGAGTTAGACAGGATTGCCAGTTGTCACCATTTTTATTTTCATCCTTTATTAATGACATTAAGGATTTTTTGCAACAGGATAAGCAATGGTGTATTAGTATAGGTACTCTACAGATGATGTTGTAGTAATAGATAGCACAGTTATTGGTCATCAAAGGAGATTAAATAAACTTTCCCAATATTGTGATAAATGGCAACTGAAAATTAATAATGTCAAGAGCAAGGTAATTGTATTTTGTAAAGGTGGTCGATTAAAGAAATATGAAATCTTTTCTCTAAATACATGTCCACTTGAAATTGTTTCAGTGTGTAAATACTTTGGTGTACATTTTTCAAGCTCTGGCTCATGGTTTAATACACAGGAAACTTTAACACGTCAGGCCAATAAAGTTTTGCAGTCACTAAAAACAAACATTATTGATTTTCATAAGTTACCTTCTCATGTTTTGACTCATTTATTTGATGTCAAGCTTTTACCAATTTTGTTGCATGGCTGTGAAGTTTGGGGTTTTCATCCTTCATCTGATATGAATACATTCCATTTCTGTAAACAGCTTTTACATTTAAGACAGAGCACCCTTAATATTGTTGCAAGGG